CTGTATGTATATGCACCTTGTGTGTGCTATGCCTGTGGGGCCAGAAGAGGGTGTTGGAGCCTCTAGAACTGAAGTTAGCAGTCATGTGGGTGCTGGGAGCAGAACCCAGGCGGTTTGCAAAAGTCACAGTGCTCTTAAGCAGGGAGCCAGCTGTCCATCCCTTTTTGTTTTAAGTTGGTATTTCTTTTACTATGAGGGCCTCCCTTCCTGCTTGACAATGGGACCCAGAACCTTGCACAAGCTAGGCAAGCACTTCCCTGTTGAACTGTATTCCCAGAACTTTTCATGTAGGTAAACAAATAAACTCAACCAATGTGCACTAGAAAGCCCTCTTAGCACTGGATGTGCATTTATTAAACAAAGTACACATATTTCTACAAATATGAGTAAAATTAGTTAATAAAAGATAGTACATCAAATTAATGAAGTACAGTTTAATTAGCTTTGAACTTTGTATAATAAACTTTTAAAATATTAACACTGCATTTTCTTTAGTTTTTAAAGAAAAATTTATATATTTTCATTTATGTGTTTGTGCCTGCATTAGCTTATGTATACCACATGTGTGCTCTGGAGGTCGGAGGGTACTGGAGTTATTGGCAGCGTGAGCCCCCTGGTATGGGTGCTGGGAACTGAACCCAGGTCCTCTGGAAGAAATGTAAGTACTCTTAACCCTTGAACTATCCTTGAAGCATTGCATTTTCAAAAAAAAAAATTTCTCCTCCTTTTCATGTGTCTTTTTCTTTTGTGCAGTTATGAGACTTGAACGAGGGATCTAGGAGATCTAGGGACCTAGGGGACGGTAGGTCCCCTGACTGTCAGCTGCACCTCTGCCCACTTGTCGTGTTTTCTAATACATTCTTTGACCTGTGGACAACTCTTCAGAAAGTCTTTTAATTCTATCATAACTTCTTCAATACAACTGGCTCCCGGACCCTGTCCTATGCAATCCAGCATTTATAGCATTTGCAAGGATAAACTAAGAGATTACTGATGATTCAGATTTCAGTTCACTGCCTAATGTTCTCAAGTTTATGGTCTCAAGCAGGAAAGATTTCTCAGAATGCATGAAAAACAAGGAAAACTTTCAATGATAATCAGCTCAAATCTCTGAGACAAAGATGACACGTGACTTAGTGTTTGACTAGTCGAGAATTGCAAAGGAAACAGTATACAAGTTGGTAGCAATGACATTGTTAGCATTTGCGGCCTCTTTGTACTATACACCTAAAAGAGCAAATTAGTCTCGATGTTAAATATAATTCAAGGGTTCGTCCCATCTAAATTTCCTGCTGTTTGAGGCAGGGTCTCTCTTTGAAGTCCATCCTGGCTTGGAACTTTGTAGCCAAGGCTGGACCTCAAACTCACAGTGGCTCTCTTGTCTCTCCTCTCAAGTGCTGGGATTATAGGTGTCTGCCAGGCCCAGCCTCTATAAACGTATTAGCATTTATAGCCATTAGTTAGAAACTAAAGATGCTCTGTATCAGTTCTATATGCAGTTATAGTTTAAAATATGCGCTTGAGTGTGAATTTGGCTAATTCTTAAAATTCTAATTAATTGTAGTTGAGAGTCTAGAAACGATATGTAAAGTAACACTAGCTTGTTGGATTTTAATTTTACAAAAGCTTAAAACTGCTTATCTTTTATCTAAGTTCCAACCTCTTGAATGATTTTTTTTTAGCACACACCTTACTTTTTAATGCTTTGTTTTTATTTTATATGCACTGGTGTTTTGCCTGCATGTGTATCTGTGTGAGGGTGTCAGATGCTCTAGAACTGGAGTGACCGATACTTGGGAGCTGTCCTGGGGTGCTGGGAACTAAACCCAGGTCCTCTGGAAGAGCAGCAGTGTTTTTAACCACTGGGCCACCTTTCCAGCTCCTTGTGTGATTTCTTTAAAAAAAATTGTATTTAAAACAGCATCAGGTTTTAGTCTCGCCAAGTAGTGGACAAAAGACTTCAAAGAAACTGTTCTCAGGTCTAAATTTTTAAAGGGTAAAAAAAGATCCTAGATTTTTTTAATCAAATATATCTTGGTCATTTTACTACTTTCCAAAAGCTTTTAAGTAACCTATTTATTGGGTATTCTTTCCTAGGAATCGCAGAAAATCAACTATACAATGTAATCTGGGCTTCAGTTTGGGTTTCCCCTGACACAGATACTGATGTTTGAGCCTTGTCTTCCTGACAAGGTGCTTACACAGCCAGTAACTTTGAGGTTTTATCTATGGGATTCGTGTCCTTTGGGCTCATTAAGAACGTTTCCAGAGATAACAATGTCAATAACACCTAATTACTGGGCTGTGAGAAAGGTCTGCTTGAGTACATACGACCGGAGGGCAGCGTGGGCCACACAATGGGAGGCTCACATCTCACATTTTATCACAGGGAAGCAGCAAACAAATTAATAATCTTACATGTGCTGTCTTGGGATGATTACTACCATGTAAAAAACTGCTTTGAGATTTTGCAGATAGTGTTGTGCCTTTTTTTTTATTCCCTTCTATTAGATATTTTTAATCTCTTAAAACTGGCCATTGCATGAATGAAGCCCTGTGGCTCTACTTAGATCTCTCAGGACTCATAACAAAGAGGTCAATTGCAGCCTGCTTAGGCTGGTCCCCCCCCCCCATAACATTGTTTTGATTATATGTTACTATTTAATTACCTTCCTTAAAGCCTTGTGTGCACTAACCTCAGTTTTACTTCAGTTTACTTTGGTAAAACTTCAGTTTTACTCATGCCTGATGAAAACTAGTTATTAAAAAAACAAAGGTGAAATTATTTTAATTTATGCACGTACTGCTTAGAGCCTCATTCATCTCACACGGTAAACTAAAATATACATCTGCCAGGCTTTAGTTTGGGGTTGCATTAGAAGTGGCTGTTGAAGAGAAGTAAATGGAAGAACTAGCTCCATATGTCTTCGAGGAGATTATTTTATTTAATCCTCTTAATGAGTGACAGAGTAGGGTTGCCTCTGTTCTCACACAGAGGAAAGCCAGAGGAAGCTGCCCAGGGATTAAGGAATGAATTGAGATTGGAGCGGACTCTGCTGCTGTATCACAAAATGTCTTCTGTGTCTTGTTTTAACCCTAATTATTACTAGTGCCCCAAGAGGCAGAGTTTCCCTTATTAATATCCTTTATAGATGACTTACATGAGTATATCAAGGGGTATCTATTTTGGTGACAGCCAAAATCACCAGCTTTATGAAAACTCATGGTTACATAAAGTATTTATATTAAGTCTGATTTGTATGATAAAAAAGTGAAATGATGGCTTTAGAGGACTTGGTAGAGATGGTTCTGCAGCATTTTGTATTTCCCGGGATGAGGAAGGCATGGGTAGTGTTTGTTTTGGTCAGGGCTGCTTTACCATGTATAGTTATTTGTGCTATTAATATTTTAGCTGGATTTTCTTGTCTCTGGAAAGTCAATTGAAAATTATTTAGGGGTGTGTGGTGTGTGTGTGTGTGTGGAGAGAGAGAGAGAGAGAGAGAGAGAGAGAGAGAGAGAGAGAGACCCAGCACTTTGAGAAGGTACGGCAAAGGCTCTTTACTAAGCAGTATGTCCACCCGGAAAGTCAGCTGTGGCTGCAGTGTCCTCCCCGGATCATCTGGGAATGCACTGCTGAGGTCATAGTTTCCTAATTCAAATTTCAGGTCAAGAACAAACTCTAAATTTATGAACTTATATTTTTTGTGTGTATGTGATAAGTCATAGTACATTTAGATACTTTAGAAATAACTTACCATATGAGTTGAGATTTGCAGTTTAACAGATATAATTCGTAATTTAAATACTGACAACTTTAAACGTTGCTGTTTCCTAAACTATGGAGTCCAGTCTGAGCACGACTGTAATCCACTGTCCGTCCTGGGGAAACGGCCATCACTGGGATTGCCCAAAGATTCCTTTGTCCCTAGGAAGACAACCACTGACCCGATATCAGCGGCGCATACAATCACAGGAAGGTTTCCCACTGCGCAGACGTTCAGGAAAAGAGACTCTTCACACGTTCTGCAGAGGCCAGGATTTGAGCTCTTATCACATGCATTGCCCCCCCTCAGAAAGTTTCATTAACCAGTTTACTTTTAAACATTTCCAGATATGCCGAACGAATCGCTCATTCAGTGATCAGTCACAGTCAGTGCTCATAATTCAAAATAACAATGCTATATTTTGTTAATTCTACTTGCTCAATGTACTCTATAAATTTATAAACTTTAATGAATTCTTTCCCCCAATCCTGGAGACTGAACCTGGGGTCTCATATTCTTTAAGGAAGGACTCTTATCGCTGAGATGCACCCTTGGCACACAGCTTCTCTCAGTGCGTATATCTGCCCTCGGCCTGAAACTCTTACATAGATTTATTTTGGTTTTCAAGATCAGAGAAAAATTTTACAGATGTAAATAGACAAAAATAAATTTTAGTGTAAAACACTTCTAATTTGAAGCTCTTTAGGGATTGATCAAAGAGAAATGTGTAAGAAACAATCTTATTTTTCCTGATAATTATTGCATTGGATAAACAGACATTTAACTAGAGATTCAGGGCTTGGGGTTTGGGATTTTTTTCTTTTTGCAGTCTAGTTAAAAGGAATGAGATTTTAACTGAGATAGTTTGAGTTTGAAGAAAGACAAAATTCATTTTCAGCTAGCAGCAGTCAGAATGCAGAAATGCACAAGTCTTGAAAACTGGTTGAAAAGTCCCAGTTTTATCCATGCTACCAAATACTGTAAGCTAAACAAGAAAAGCAAAAGGAGGGAGGATTTCTGTGAGGCTGGAGGCCAGCCTGGACTACAGTAGAGGCTTGGAAGAGGATGAGACACAAAGCTAACCTGTCTTGTGTATTCATTCTCCATGTGAACCTCTTTCCCTGACGATAAGGAGTCTTACCTGGTTTCCTTTGGTTCTGTGATGAATGCCAGGGCCTCAGATGCGCTAAGTTGGCATATAGGAAACACCTCTACTCCCAGTCCCTAGACTCTTACCTTTTGGTGAGCGTGTAAAGGTCACCTGGTCACGGGGTATGTCCAAAAACTTGTGTTCCATCTGCACGTTAACCAAAAAGTTTTATTACTGAGCTTCAATAATATCAACCAATTAAATATTCAATAGGGGAAAACAAATGTCCTACCATGGTTGGCTGAAAAGCATTTGTTGCAGAGGATGACTCTGTCAAGTTTATTGAGGAGTGCACAAACACGGGCTTAACTTTCTGAAAGACACAAACAGCAGGTACAGTGGGTGAAGATGAAATCACAGTCACAGCAAAGGGATGCAGATGCTCTTTGTATTAGGTAGGCTTCTCTAGAGAAGCAGAACAGATAGAGTGACTCTAAGTATACAAAATTTATTTAGATTTATTAGAGTGACTTACAGACTATTGTCTGACTATTCAAACAATGGATTTCTCTCTACGAAAAGTTCAATAACTCAGTAGTTGTTCAGCTGTTATCGGGTGCAAGGGGTTGGATGTCTCAGATGGTTTTCGGTATATGCTAAAGTCTCAAAGTAGGCTGTTATGCTAGTGACGAAATGGACTTGCTAGCAAGATCGACAGCAAGCAAGCACAGAGAAAGCATCCGTTTCTTCCCTGTCCTTTACACAGGCTGCCACCAGGAGGTGTGGTACAAATTTAATGTAATCTTTCCGCCTCAGAAGATCCAGATGTAGGGTAGGTTTACCCACTTCGATGATTCAGTCAGAAATCTCTCACAGGTGTACCCAGCTACTTGACCTCTAGTTAATTCCAGATGTAGTCATGTTGACTTCCAAGAATTGCCACAACACCTTCATCTCCTCAACTGTGACATGGAAATCCTGCTTCTAACTTATTTACTCAAACACAGATGGAGAGATCCTTTCCTTTACACTAGCGGTGGTGTCCACCTAGAGACGCAGACACTCGAGTGGCTGATGTCGGAGGCCTGTTTAAAACCAGACGTTTGAGAAGAGCCTGGGTAATAAAGAGCTGCTCCAACTCCAGTCAACAACATCAGTGTCATCATCAAAGTAGTAGCAAAGACTCGCCGCTTTACTGAGGCTATTTTGAGAGACAATTGAAAAAAAAACATTCTCCTCCATGTCTCTCCAACTCTACTTTTATTTGATTATCCCTTCAACTTGGGATTTTCTACAAGCTGGCCCTCCATGGGCGTAGTCATGTGTTTGCAGCTTCAAGCTGCAGTGGAGAAAAACACACTTAAAAAACTCTAAATTACTTTTGTGTTTAACATGTATAGACATCTTTTCCTTGCCATTATTCCCTAAGCAATACACTATATCAACCATTTGCACAATATATTGCATTAGGTATTACAAGTAATCTAGAGAGAATTAAAGTCTATGGAGAATTGCAAAATATCACACACAAATACTAAGGCTTTCTAAAACTAATACAGGTATTGGGAATCCAAGGACCTTGGTTCCTCTATGTGGTCCTAGAATTAATGCCCTTCAGATATGGAAGGGCATCACACAGGAACAGGTCAGAAGTTATAAGGTTACTTCCAATCCCAAATAGCTGTTGAAAGCTTCAGCAGTGCGCCCAGATTGCTAAGAATGGGCTGGCAAAAAAGCAAAAGATAAAGCAAACAAGGGAGGGACTTCTAGAAGTCCTGAGCAGAAGCATGCATCACTGTTACCCATTTACTACTAAATCATGACGAGAGACGTGCAGGCGACGCAGTTCAAGGTGCATTATGCATGCTCACCAGAAACAGTCTGGGACCCTGTGCATTGCTTAGAATGTATGTTTTTCCCCTCTTACTTATTTCCTTATTCTCTCTTGGTGAGTTGAGTATCTTTATTTATATATTCATATACATGCATTCTCCTATCCCTAAAGCCTAATTCCACAAAGGGGTGTGGGGTTAAATGTTTGATGGGGAAAAACCAATTGACCTACATTAGGTGAGTAAAAAACACTTGTGAGAAGAGGCTAACTCTGCTGGGTGTACGGTGGAGCACACCATAGCGGGGGGATGGCACAGAAAACACATGTACAAGAGCATGTGGCCTCAGGAAACAGGCAGAGACATGGGAAATGAACAGACTGTGAAGACAATTGTGGATACGATGTGGAAAAATTTCAACTACTAAAACCCAAATTTAAACTTTGGGAAAATTTAAACCCAAATAAAATTTTCATTTCTTATACTCCTCAAAGTTGTTATACCAGTGGAAATGTAAGCAAGGAGCTGGCGAGATGGCTCAGTGGGTTAGAACACTAGATGTTCTTTCAGAGAACAGGGTTCAGTTCCCAGCACTCATTTGGCAGTTTACAGCCACCTGCAACTCTAGTTCAGGGAACTCAGCTCCCTTCTTGGGCACTCGACACATTTGTGGTACATCTACACACAAGCAGACAAAACACTTATACATATAAAATTTAAAAAATAAAAATAAAACGTAACCAAGAATGCTGTCAGATGTAAGAGTAAGAAAACGTGGGCGCCATGTCTCCCATTGTATGGCTTCACTTTGCTTTAAGGACATTTGCCAAACTTAACAAATACATCTAAGAGTAGTCAAAGGCTTTTTTTAACCCAGAGGTAGAGGACACAACTCAGAATCCACTTAAAATGTGTGAATAACGAGACCCCATTGCCTCACGATGACTCCGGAGTGATTTTAAGTAGATGTATGTACAAGGCTGAGGGGAGAAGATGGAGTCATATGTATAATGCATATAAGGCAAACCTGTAACAGGCCTGAAGCTTTTCCAGACAGCTATATCTGCTAGCTTGCCATAGGACGTAGCATTAAAAGTTAAATCCTTATTGATTTATTTGCAGCAGGTATGCTCAACTTGTGGCTAAGGAGACTTAAGAAATACAATGCAACAAATAAAAGTGTTAGCGGTACAGTTTTGAGGAATAGATACATTGATTCTAACTACCCTAGAAAAGTACTAGAAATGTCTGATTGAGTGACATAGCCTTCTTGTGGAACTTTCTGTTTTGTTTACCCAGCTGGTTACACATCTAAGATGAGGAGAATGCCAAGTGAATTTACAAACTACGGGAGAAGGGGGAAAGGAAGGAAGGAGGATTCTGTGCATGTTCTTCTCTTGTGTAGACTAGTTTGGGATGCTCAGGAGACAATTCTTTCCTTCTTTTGTCCCTCCCTCCCTCCCTCCCTCCCTCCCTCCCTCCCTCCCTCCCTCCCT